CCCCTGTCCAAGGCCGGCCTCTAAGAACCCGCCTCCGGTGTCCGAAAGTCCCCCCCTTCCCCCTCAGAATCCTGCCTCACTCTCTGTAGCAGACCCGCCTTAGACTTCAGCTCTACCCCTCCATACTGGTCTCCACCCAGGTCCACATGCCCTGTCCCTCTGAACCTGCAGCATTTGGGGGTGACCGCTGGCCCTAACTCTTGGTCCCCCTTGGCCCTCAGATAGAGGAGATCTTTAAGAAAGCTGGCCACCCCTTCATGTGGAACGAGCACCTGGGCTACGTGCTCACCTGCCCCTCCAACCTGGGCACCGGGCTGCGCGGCGGCGTGCACGTGAAGCTCGCGCACCTCAGCAAGCACCCCAAGTTCGAGGAGATTCTCACCCGCCTGCGCCTACAGAAGAGGGGCACAGGTGCGTCTGAGCCTCTCCTGCACCCCAGCATCTGTGGGTGGGTGGAAGGGCAGGTGGGACGCCTCCTCGAAGGCTGGGATCGGTAAGGGCTGCCCCTCTGTGAGCCTCAGTTTCTTCCTCTGTAAAATGGGTGCAAGAACATCTCCTAGGAGTTAGTATGGTATCATCCCCTGACCTCCCTCGGGACCATACTCTCCCCATTTGTCAGTGGGGTGTGGTCCGAACTCAAACTCTGGTAGCCATATCACTTTCTTCTTTTTTCCTTTTCTTTTTGCACTCACATGTGTGTTTTGAGACAAAGGCTCACTATATAGTTCAGGCTGGCCTTGAACACTCTGTAGCCCAAAACTGGCCTTGCTCTCACTGCCTCAGCCTCCTGAGAGGCGCTGCACACGCGGGGCGCCGCGGTTACCCTGGGCACCCCCGGCCTCTGCGCTCCCACTCACGCCCAGTCCTCCGCTCCCGCAGGTGGCGTGGACACGGCTGCCGTGGGCTCCGTGTTCGACATCTCCAATGCCGATAGGCTGGGCTCGTCTGAGGTAGAGCAGGTGCAGCTGGTGGTGGACGGTGTGAAGCTCATGGTGGAGATGGAGAAGAAGCTCGAGAAGGGCCAGTCCATCGACGACATGATCCCCGCCCAGAAGTAGAGCAGCACCCCAGCACGTCTGGGGCGCGAGGCTGCTCCACGACAAACAATAAATGAATAAAACAATGGTGGCCTTAGCTGTGTGTGCGATAGTCGCTGAGGAGGATTTGTAATTAGCCTCCTGTGTCCTTGAAATGGTTTGCCCTTGTAGATGTGCTTTAATCCCATCTTTAAAATGACGTTAGGGTACAGACTAACCCCACAATGATAAGGCTGGAGGAAGAACAGGAGCCCGACAGATGTGGCCCCTGTCACACAGCCATGCCTGGGCCCTTTCTAACTTCAGCTCTGAAGCAGTCCGCCTCATCTCAAACACACTGGCCACGCAGAGGTAAAAGCGGGCCAAGCAGAACGTCTGAGGGGGGCCACACATCTGAGCGCATCCACCACTATTATGTTTCTCGCCGACTTCCTCCTGTCCACTCTACCCATCCTCTACAGCTGCCGGCCTTTTCTTTTGGCCAGCTCAGCCCACCCTTAGGGTGGGGCATGTGGTACCGGGGACCAAACCACGGTCCTCTGCGCCTGCCTAAGCTTGCCTAAGCAGGCACTTTAGATCCCCAAGCTATCTTGCCGCCCTCCCCCCTTTTAGTTTTTTGAGACAGGCTTTCTCCATGCAGTCCAGGCTGCCTTTGAATTCACTATAGAGCCCGGGCTGGCCTCAAACTTGCATCAATCCTCCTGCTTCAGTCTCGAGTGCTGGGATGACCAGTGAGCGACACGACGCCTGGCAGCTGGCAGTCTTTGAACTGCTCTTGGTTTTTTGGGGTTTTTTTGGTGATGTATTTGGTTGTTGCAGGGTCCCACTATGCAGCTTGGACTCGTGGTGATCCCCCTGCTTTCAGCCTTCTCAGCGCTGGGATTACAGGCATGCACCACCACACCCGGACTCAGGCAGCTCAGCCAGCCCTGGGGGCGGGGTTGGCGCAGCATGTGGTACTGGGGATCGAACCAAGGTCCCTGCGCTTTCCTAAACTTGCCACAGCAGGAGCTTTAGTCCCCTGAACTATCTCGCCGGCCCCCGCTCTTGCTTTTTGCTAAGGAGCCTGTCACGGGTCCCCACACTCCTAGTGTGCTCATGTTGTTCGCGAGTCTTCGAAGTCACACTAAAATACGATGGCTGGAGCTCATCTTTGCAGTTCTTCCTCCCCTTACTGCTCTTTCATTCTCCAACTCCCAACTCATTGATTGTTCCTTCTCCAGTCTGGGTCAGAGCATCCCTATGTAGTCTAGGATGGGTCTTTTGGGGAGCTTGGCCCCAGGAAAGAGCCAAAAGGAGCCATGGCAGAGCAATAAAGAGGTCAGAACGGTCAGTAGGCATCCGAATGCCTATTGGTTGCTGGGTGCATCAATAACCTCTTCTCAGCCAAACAGGTCAAGGAATCCAGCTAAAGATGCAGTGGGCGGGCCCAAAGAGGACAGGTTTCAGAACTGTGGGAAAGGGGCTGGCGAGATAGCTCAGTGGTCTAAAGCGCCTGCTTAGGCAAGCTTAGGTAAGCACACGGATCACAGTTTGATCCCTAGCACCACATACTGCGCTGCCCTGACCCCCAGTGTGGGCTGAGCTGGCCACAAAAATAAATAAAATAAGAAATGTGGGTCAAAGAAAGCAGAACCCGAAGTTCCTCAGGAGCCTGGCAGACACTTTGTTCAACTCTTAAGAGACACTGGTTAAGTACCGTCAGAGATCAAAAAGACCATCTTATACAGAGGGAGACCTGAGGCCCAAGTGTATACCCAAGAGTTCTGAGGATCTCTGAAACAGGAAAGCTAGAAGATACCCAAAGATCTTGCCTGGCAGGAGGACTGAACATTGAGCCCAGTCCTGGGATTTAGTGAGACCCTGTCTCAAAGTAAAAAGATAACAGCTGAGGATGTAGCTCTGATTCCTAACGAAGGACACCAGCAAATCCTTTACAAGTTTGTCACCAACTGCAGGTCCCATTGCTAATAATTCTAGCCTCACACCTGGAAGCTGAGAGACCACACTCAAGGGGGAACAGTCTGAGTGTATCTGCCAGTGACTATGTCCTCACCATTTTGCCACATATAAGCCATTCAATTCTTTAAATCTTTTTTTTTTTTTCTTTCTCCTGTTTTTGGCCTGCTCAGCCTGCCCTCAGGGCGGGGCTGGCACGACACATGGTGTTGGGGATCGAACCGTGGTCCCTGTGCCTTCCTAAGCTTACCTAAGCAGGTGCTTTAGACCGCTGAGCTATCTCACCGGCCCAGGAAAAGACCCTTTCTGCTGGATGTGGTGGCACACACCTGTCACCCCAGCACCTCCTGAGGCTGCGTCACAGTGAGCTTGAGGCCAGCCTGAGCCTAAAGTACACAATGAGTCCTTGTCTTCAGAAAAACGAAGTGTCCCTCCCTGCGCACAACCTTGTCATAGATCCCCAGGGGTGCTGGAAGACAATCACCTCCTCGATCTCCAGGCTCCCTGATATCTCACAGAGACCCTGCGCTCCTCCCGAGTCGCGTTCCTTTTGCGGACGGACCTGTGCTTTTTCCAGGCATTGAGCACCCAGCGCCTTCCCTCTCGGATGTAAGTCTCCACACCTCCGCTCCTCCAGGAAGTACTCCCTATCTCTCCTCTGGATGGCCGGTCCGAGGACGCATTTGTCCAAGTCACTGGGCTGTGAACTCCAGGAGGGAAATGCTAGACCTCGCACAACACAGAGGACACCTTGGGAGACCCACTTAGCACCCATCCGCCAAGTCCCTCCTCTGCTCTTTGGTGCCTTCAGAGAAAGCCCAGTGAGCTCATTGTGGCCCCCAAACTCTATTCCCGTAAAAATCTGACTCCATGCTCCCTCCCGGCCCGGAAGCCTCACTTTGCTCTGTGGAAACTTCAAGACCTAGGGCCAGCCAGGTAGGTCAGCGGACTACAGCACTTGCTTAGGTAGAGCACAACAGCCTCTATTCCATCCCCAGCGTGCAGTGTCTGCTCTACCCCAGTGTGCTCAGAGGGCGACTGGGACTGGGCGAAGTGGCGCGCACCTGTAATCCCAGCGCTTAGGAGGCTGAACACAGGAGAATCACTGAGTCTGATTTATGTAGTAAGACCCTGTACTAAATGTGAGAGAGAGAGACAGAGAGGGGG